AGAATTACCCCCAGTGACTCTGGGCAGGATTTCAAACCAAATAAAACCAGCTGAGGCATCTGTGCACATCATGAACCACTCAAGGACAGTTCTGTAATGTGCAGCCTTTTTTGGCCCCTCCCTGCCCCCTTGGATCTGGATTTAGTCCTGGTGCTTCTGGGGAACTACAGCTCTGCCTTCCTCTGGTGCCTTTTCTCTGGGGGCTCAGAGGTTTCAGAGCTGTTACACGACACAGGAGGGACTTTTTGGGACCCTGCAGTTGTTATTGACCCTACAAGTGAACAACTGATAAACTTGGGGAAGGTTATTGTGCATCAGTTTAAGAAAGGGAATGATCAACCATTATCTGCATCTGTGTTTACAGTTTTGCAACTGTGCAAGTCAGCTGCAGTTTATTACTGACTTTCTTCCTTAGCAGTGCAGCAGTGTGGGTTTGCATTCACTATTCCTACAGATCTCAGAATCCTTTACAAGTTCTCATGTTTAGTTAATGACTGAAAATAAAGTCCTGCCAGTTCTCTCCAGGTGCTGCACTCAGCAAAGAGTCTTCTCCAAGCAGCAATTATATTTCTCTTCCAAAGAGAGGTTTATGTGCTTAATTAGGGGCAGACAGATAAGTTTCCATGAGACACTAACAGCTGGGAATTAGTCATGAAACTCAAGCACAAAACTACTCCTTGCTGGGTCAGCAGTGGCTCAGTTGATAATGCCTACAGACTTAATAACCTGTATTTCCTAAACTTATGCTACTCCTGATAAACCTCTTCCTGTAAAAGAGGAAGAGATCTGCTGCTGTTCTTCTCTGTGTTTGTAATTTGATGGTTGAGCACTTGAAAAACCATCTAATATCTCATTGTCAGTCATTCATCCCCTTCTCTGTGCTGTGATTGTGAGGAGGAAGATTGTTTTCCAAGTTTTGTGTTTTAATGCCATTTGCCTAAAAATCTGCTGGCTAAACTCCAAAGTTTGTGCTCTGAAAGGAGTCAGAACCTGCCTTGCTTCTGTCCCAGGAGCAGCAGAGTCTTCTGCAGGGAGGTTTTTCTTCCAGGCCAAGAAAACTGTGGTTTTTTTAGTGAGCAGTTTTGTAAGCAAGTGGTGTTACAACACAGGATTTGGGCAGTAATCTTCCTCCCAGAGATGTAAGGCAAAAACATGGTATTAATTCTTCCCCAAAGGCATTTGTAGTAGTGCTCTGTTTCTGTCCATGACAGATGGAACTGGAACAATGGGTGCTGTTCACCTGGACACTGCACAGCATCACACCTGCACCTTGTCCTTGATGCATTAAACCACACCTACCCAAACAGGCTGTGTGTGCTGGCTCTTACACACACTTCTGCTTAGCAGCCACTAAAACATATCAAACACCATCTGGGTCTGTGGGATGGTGTAATTCCCTCTGAGGGTAATAAAAATGAGCTGTGCAGAGCAGCCCTAGGTGAGGTACCCCTGGGTTATGTGTGCTTTGACTCTCCCAAAGGACAGGCTCAGGCTTTACCTCCTGTGATTGCTACAGGAACGATCAGCCCCAGAGGAATTCAGATCAGTACAGAGTGTGATTAGCAAAAGGCAGAGCTCCAAAGGAAGATTGATACTACTCATGTCATAGGAGCCAGTTTCATTCCTCAGCTTAGTTTTTATCTCTGGGGATGAGTCTCCTTCTTGCCACTCTAACTAAGGCACAGTCACATGCACCATAGGACAAAGTGGCTGCTGCCGTGGGGAAGGGCTTTGGGGGTCACTGCCTAAGGATCACAGGATGGTTTGGGTTGGAAGGAGCCTTGAAGACCACCCAGTTCCACTCCTCTGCCATGGGCAGGGACACCTTCACCAGAGCAGGCTGCTCATTGTCTTATATTTGTCAACATTGTCTCTGTTGCTGCTTTTTAAAATCCCATCTCGGGTGGGCCCAAGGCACCTGAACCCTGCCTTGCAGTGTGATAAAGGTGTTTTGTGCTGGGGGTTTGGGAGACTGTGCCAGGGGAAGGCACAGTGGGCTCTGCCCTCATGGGATTGCTTTGTCACTTCTTGGAAGCGGGTATAAAGTGGTTATTGTAGCCTGTGTTCTCTAAACAGACATTTTTAATTGCTGGGTTTGATTTCTTTTGCTAGAACCACCGAGGCTTGTTGTTTCCCCCAAGAACCAGACTTTTACAGAAGGCTCTGAGGTGTCTATCAGGTGTTCTGCAACAGGCCATCCAAAGCCAACAGTCGTGTGGACACACAATGATATGTTTATCGTTGGCTCAAGCAGGTGGGAGTAACAGTTTTCTCTATTACTTTTCATTTCCTATGTGAGAAGGAAGTTTTGAATAATGCCAAAATATTCTGAATATTTCCTCAACTTTCACTTTTAATAAGTCTTTAATTGCAAATATCTCATCTCTAAAATAGAAACACTTCAGTTCTGTTCTTCGGGAGGTTTTTTTTATTCTTTACAAAATAAGTGCTTTTCGCAAAATGTAGTGCTGTTCTCTGGAAGATACTGTTATTTATCATGAGAAAAAACCCAGCAAGACTATTTATAAACCATCTGGTCTTGCTGCTGTGCCTGCTCGAAGTGTGGATACAACCATTGCTCTTTTTAATCATTTTGGTTGTTGCCCTGTGTGTTCCCAGGTATAGACTGACCCCAGAAGGCACCTTAATCATCAGGAAGGCAATTCCCAAAGATGCAGGAATTTATGGCTGCTTGGCAAGTAACTCAGCTGGGACAGACAGACAGACATCCACCCTCACATACATTGGTGAGTGAAGGAAACAAGGCAGTGAAGTTAAAAAGGCAAACTAATATATCATCAGGGACTGCTGGAATGAGTAGAACTGGGCAGAAAACACGGTGTTAGAAATGTCAGAAAATATGTTGAGCAGCTCTCAAATGTCCCTTTAGGTTTCTGTTCCAACCTGACTGGTGCTGTTAGGTGGTATTTGGGGCTTCATGTTCTCATGCTGTTTCTAAGCTTAAAAACGTGGGTTTGCTGTGGGATGGGCTTGGGAACCTGAGTAGGTTGTTGGAAAAGGAATTGTGTTTCTGTATCTAAATACTATATTCATATATTAATAGCAGAGCATTAAAATGTTTGGTGACCAACATCTGGCTGGAGAAGGAGAGTGACTCTTGATGCTTTTACTTCCTACATAATGAAACTTTCCTGATTATTTCCTTTCATTCCCTGCACATTTTATGTGTGATTCAGATGCTCTTTACTTTTCCAAGTTTCCCAGAGTTAATCTGTCACCTTAAATGACTTTTAATGCAATTATTCTTCTATATAAAAAGACAAAATAAGAGTCTTTCATTGTTTATGTTTTAGAAAAAACTATTTTTTTTATCTTGTTTCTTTTTAGAGGGTCCAACATTGACTGTGGTTCAGAGTGAAATTCTGGTTGGTCTTGGAGACACGACTATTATGGAATGTAAAACAACTGGAATCCCAGCCCCCCAAGTTAAATGGTTTAAAGGTGTGCTTATTGCTTGGTGTTTGGTTTATTTATTTAGCAGCAATATTTAGAGCAATTATCTGGAAGTGACTTCATTTCTCTCAGAAGGTTTTTGTAGTATTCAACCAATGACAGACCTGTGAAACTCTGTAAATCTAGAATAAATGGCATTGACCTCTAGGGCATAAATTCCTGCTCCTATTTAATACAGTGAATTATTTTTTGTAGCATAGGTAATTAAAGAAAAAAAAAAGCTGAACCTCTTGCCCATTTACATAAGGTTCATTCCTCTGTCAGAAAATGTTTAAGTTATAGGCTGCAAAAGTCACAAAACGTTTTTCTGTAGCCTCTGATGTCCTGTTTTCGTGTGGCCTCCAGTTGGAGAGGGAGAAATACAGCCTGAGACACTGCCTAGTGCTGATCTCTGCCCAGAGCTACTTGGGTTTGTGTTTCCCTTATGGAACCAATCAGTAAAAAAGGATGTATTTAATGTGGGAATGATTTCTTCCACTCAGTTGAGTGGGAGTCAGAGTTCTCATCTGCTGAATTCACACAGCCATGCTGTGACCCATCTCAAAGCTGGGCACTGTTTTGTTGGAATAACTCTGATAAATACAGCTCTGATGTTGATATATGCAGTTATATTGCCTCTTTCTGTCTGGACTCAGGTGACTTAGAGTTGAGGGCATCAGCATTTCTCATTATTGATCCTCCCCGGGGTCTCTTGAGGATCCAGGAAACACAGGAGCTGGATGCTGGTGACTACACCTGTGTGGCCTCCAACGCTGCTGGGAGAGCCTCTGGCAAGATCACTCTGGATGTTGGCTGTGAGTAAACTGGGACCTGCTGGGAACACTCCAGTTCCAGTGTCTACTGGGCAGTGAGTGGTGCCCTGGTTCTCTGAGCCTTTCTCACAGGTACCTATAACCTGTGTGTGTGCTGGGAGCACTTTTGGGTGGTGCTGACTGAGCTGTTTCCCTGTCCCATTTGGGCTCCAGCTTAGAATCATAGACTGCTTTGGGTTGGAAGGGACCTTAAAGATCATTTTGTTCCAGCCCACTCCTTGATTCTTTTGCAAAGCATAAAGTTATGGGAAGGAAGAGAGAGGCAGAAGAGGAGGAAACTGTTCAAACCTCAACCTAACAAAATTTGCACATAGAGAATTTATTATACAGACTTGAATTACTGTGAGAGGTTGTTGTAACTCAGCCTTTCCTCTCCTCTTTTCCTAATGCTTTCCATCTGCTTGTGGCTGTTCAGTGTTCCTGTCAGGGACATGCATCTTCTGAAGCAATGAGGGGAGGAGAACTTAACAACCCTAACACTTGAGTATGCAGGGCTGTGTGATGGGGGTGGCTCTGTCTTCATTTTTATGAGATGTTTATCCCATTTCTGAGCTCCCAGTGTGAGAACAGCATGCAGGGCTACTCTAGGTGTTCCTAGAGTTGGGAATGTCAGAGTAATTGTGCATGGTGGGACATAAATTGAGGTCAGCAGTGGTGTGAGAAGATGTGAGGGCTGTGTTGAACCCCAGGTCACCCTGTGTGTGTGTGTCTCTCCCCAGCTCCCCCCGTTTTCACGCAGGAGCCCAGCGATGAATCCGCGGATCTGGGCTCCAACCTGACCCTGCCCTGCTACGTGCAGGGTTACCCCGAGCCCAGGGTCTCCTGGAGGAGGCTGGATGGGGCTCCCCTGTTCTCCAGGCCCTTCACTACCAGTGCCACCAGCCAGCTCAGGACAGGGGCTCTGGCCTTTCACAGTAGGTACCCTGAGCTTGGACACAAAACCTTCCAGGGGAACGGGACATGTGCAGTGCAGTGTTACTGTACAGCTTGGTATCACTGTTAACTTGGTGAAAACACTGCATTCCTATCCCAGGTTGTGTTTCTGATGCTGACTTCATGTTGACATGCAGTTCCTTTTCCCATGAGCTTGTGAAATCAGTTGTGTTTGGTTATTGGCTTCACTCTTCATGGAAGTTATTACATCTTTGTGTAAATATCTGGGGGCTATGGGTTTTCATTTTCAGTATTTTTTTGAGAGAATTGTGTTTTTTTGAGAGCTGAGGTTTTTTTGTGGGTTTTTTTGTTTGGTTGTTTGGTTTTTGGTTTTTGATTTTGTTTGGGGTTTAGTGGTTTTGTTTGATTTCTTGGTTTTGTTTTGGTTTTGTTTGTTTGGGGTTTTGGGGAGAATTGGTTCTAAACTCACTATTTTAGACCAGTCCTAGTTTGGGTAATAACACTCTGCAAGTGCCTTTGTGATTTTGATTATTTGGCAGCATTTCAGTCACCCTTACAATAAGTGATGTTATTCTGTTTTCTTAATTAGCTTTTGAATTTCTTTCTAGACAGTGTCAGGTGGGGTGAAGCAGTTCCTCTCTGCTGTGCATACAGGGAGTATTTTGTGGGTGTCTGTTCACATGCAGAAACACTGCAGGTGTACTGGGCAATATGCCCAGTCAGGGCACTCCTGTGGTAGTGCAGAGATGTAATGTACTGCCATATATCATTTATGGACTCCTTGCAGATGCTGCAGTCAGATCTCTCTGTCCCCCTCTAGATCTGTGGGTCAGTGATGAGGGCATTTACGTCTGTGAAGCTGAGAACCAGTTTGGGAGGATCCAGTCCCGCCCAGCCACGGTCACAGTGACAGGACTGGGTGAGAGTGGGGGTGTCAGTGGGAGCTGGGGGGGTTTGGGGGTTATGTCCATCCCTGCTGACCTGTCTGTGTGCTCTACTTCCATGTCACCCACACACACAGAGTTAGGAAGCATTTACACGGAATATTGTCATTGATTTCTGTGAATTTTGCATGTTAAGAGTGTTGTCTTTTGACTGGCTGCACTAGCTGGAATTAGTTCCACCTGTGTGTTTAACAAAGACCTTAAACAGGATTTGTCCTGTCTTTTGTTTCTTCTTCCTAAGGGAATTTAATGAGGAGTGAAAAGTCATTGTAATGATGGGGCTCCTGCCATTTAATTCATCCTTAAAAAAAACCCAAAAAGGGCAGCAATGAACGTGCTTGTGCCAGTGTTGGTGTAACTGTGAAGGAACCCTTGTGATCCAACAAGACAATAAATGACAATAGAATCATAGAATCCCAGAGTGGTTTGGGTCGGAAGGGACCTTAAAGATCATCCCAGATTTTCAGCTGGGCTCTCATCTCTGTTCTAATCCTTCATAATTTTATGCCTGAAGAAATGGCCACTTCTTTTTTGTCCTCTCCAAACCTGCTACTTTTGTTCTTCAATATTTTACCCCAGTAAGGAAAAATCAACTTGGTGTCAGGGAACAGGAGTTCTCAGGGAAACCCTTGGCTGAATCCAGTTTCAGCTAAGGATCACACTGCATGTGTTTCTCCAGCTTCCCTCCTCTCCTGTGCTACCCCACCCCTACTTTGGTTTCTCTTTTTTCCCTGCCTTTATTGTAATGCTAATTTTAGTACTCTGTGTGGAAATATAAAAGCTCCTAATAATTCTACTCATTCTTCCTTTTGTTCAAGTCACACCTCTGATTGGAGCAAGCCCAGCCACAGCCAATGTCCTTGAGGGCCAGCAGCTCACTTTGCCATGTGTTCTGCTTGCTGGGAACCCCATTCCAGACAGGAGATGGATTAAAAACAGTGTGGTGGTAAGACTGCTTTGTTTCTTGTGAGATTTATTGGCACAGAAAAGCTCCAACTGACACTTCAAGGCACAATATCAGCTTGGTTTGATTTACAAAAGTTAATGTGGTCGCTGCCCATGCTGGGGAGTTCTGACCCTGCAGCACAGATGAGAGAATGGGAGATGTGAAGATCTAGAAAATAGCTGTGAACCAAAGTATTGGTGAATTGTCCTTTTACTTCCATTTTACTTCCATTTATGCAGCTTTGTGGCTCATAAATTTCAGCCTTGGACTCTGAATATGGGAATGCTAGTGGGATGTACCTACCAGAATGACATGCTGGAAATTAAACTGTGGCAATGCAAAAGCTTTTATTTTCCCTGGGTTGGTTTTTTTTTTAAAACTTAAATAAACATATTTAATTTAAATAAACATACCTGAAAATTTCTGTAGGTTTTTAAGGTGTTTTAACATCATGGCTATTCCTGTTGCTGATGGGATGAGGTAAATGCCAGTACCCCTGTTCCATGTACTCCTTTCCTAGTGGTGCTCTACTTAGAGTGTGAGTAATGACTGTGCTTTCTTTCCCCTTGGGAACATACCATTGCCAGTTCACTGCTCCTGCAGACAGAACTGATGATCATTAAGGTCCATTCCAACCCAAGCCATTTGGAGATTCCAGAAAGGTGATGTAGACACCCCACCTGGGTTAGTTTTCTGCATGAAACCTCATTTCTTCAACAGTGAAATTACTGACTTCACATCCCTGTGGAGCTGCTTTTTATCTTGATTGCTCATTTCTCCCTGAAGTCATTTCTCCACAGCTGGAATTAAATTGATTGTGCCAGAACCTGGCACTACCTGGCCCTTACTGGAGTTTCCTGCTCAGTTTTGGTGCCTCTGGGAACCACTGGCTTTTCCTCAGGCTGTGTGAGTGTGAGGAGGGGGGGAATACTGGCAGGATCCTCCTTGTTGAGTTGCTAATTCCTCTGTGTAGCAGAGCTGGTTTCCTGTCATTGTAAGCTGGTGGGAAAAGCTGCACTCCAAGGAAGGTGTTGGAGCAAGTTGTGTTTAGGGAAGAATTCTTCATCTGAGTGTGACTGGAACAACTTTGCTTTCTAACAGCCCTCCTGTGAGCCCAGGCTGTGCTGCCGAGCTCAGGGATCTCTGGTATTCCTGTAGGATGTAGAACTCTTAGAGGGTTACTCTTTGGTGGAACTTATAATTGTCCTTCCCAATGGTTTGCTGCAGGGCTGATCTCTTCTATTTGATGGATATGGAATTTGGAAGGTTTTGGTAACTGTAAAGACAAATGACCTGCCTGTGGAAGAACATGTCATTGCACTCATCAAGAGCTGATCTGTGACCAAGCTGAATTACTGGAATAACCAACTCAAATGCAGTGAAATAATTCAGCTAAATTTGGGGTTCCCCATTAAAAGCACGAGCAGCAGCTCTCGATGTGCTGTGGCAGAGCAGAGTTGCTCTTGCAGATCTTAATACAGCAATAAATACAAGGTGCTGCCAAAATTCTTAATTAAAATTACGTTTCCCTGAAAGGTGGAAAGTAGGAAAAGCTCTAGTAAAAATCTCCACGAACGCAGAATTTTTATGTACGTGAAATAATCAAGTGAAGCCACGCTGCATCCCCAAATAAATATTATCCCAAGTATTCTTGCCAGTAAAATGTTCCATCCCTCTCTTGGCAGCTGGTGCCCAACCCGTACGTGAGCGTGCGGAGCGACGGGAGCCTGCACCTGGAGAGGGTTCGGCTGCAGGACGGGGGGGATTACACCTGCATGGCCTCCAACGTGGCTGGCACCAGCAACAAAACCACTGCTGTCAACGTGTACGGTGAGGAACAGCCCTTGGGTGAGGGAGGGGGGGCAGGAAGGGGTGACACTCACCCCCAGCAGCTGCACTGGAGCTGGGCAGTGGCACTGATGTCTCACATTCCTCTGCTGTAATGGTATAACTTTGGAAAGGAAAACGGGGGGAGATTCCCCTGCACAGGGAAGAGCTGAGCCATCCATATTGTTTTTAAAGTAAAATCAAACAACACTGTTTTGTGATCATAGGACATCCTCATTTTTAAACACCTCCAAAGGCAGGCTGTGCACTCTTCATCTTTATTAACAAGTGGAAACCCATGAAAAGTGCTGTCTGAGTGGTTCAGAACTGGTGTAAGGAAGCACAACTCCTGGGAGAAGTAGAGTGAAAGAAAATGAATTACGAGTTTTGGCAAGACTCAAAATTTGTTTGTTGTTTTTGGTGTCATCCCCATTCTCCTCCCCCTTATTTTTTCTCTTTAATTAAAACATATCAAAAATTGCACTGACAGCAAGACGAAGTGTTAGCTCTGTGGTGTAACCCATCTGCATTTCAGCTGAAGATATCTGTATTAAGTCTGTGAGGCCACAAGCACTTCATGGTTTCTCACGTGTTAATTTTGCTCACATGTTAAATTAATCATGGGAGGTTTATTTTAAACTTCACTGAAGATTCTGGAACATCCTTTTATGTTAAGAATAGCTGTAAATCTTTAATACAAGCAAGTACTCATAAGGTCTTCCATGTCAGCATTAGTTTTTTGGATATTTCAGAACTTGGGAACAAAAAGAAATACCTTTGTATGTGTTTAGATATTTCTAGGTTTTGGTATTGTAGCCTTAAATCTGATTTTATTTTTCTGTTGTTAATTCAAAGGCAGCTCAGCTGAGCCAAGGGAGCTGGGATTCTTGTCTCTTGTTACTGATTTTGGGAAGTGAAGCCTAAAATGTTGTCAGAGGATAATGTGACAAAGCCTTACTGCACTAATTGCAGTCAGTGAAATACCTGCAGTCGAGACTGCATGTACCTAATGCAGTGATCAGGCTGTGGCTTTCATGCTTTGTAGTGAGCAGGGATTTATCCTGTCCCAAAAGGCTGGAGAGTGGAAGGGAGAGTGGCTGCTCATTGTCCCTGTTAGGGTTGGAGAAGAGGCTGAACAGTCCCAAACCCTGCTGCCTGTAGGAAGTAGTATAAGGATAATTTTGTAATAGCTGTGCCATGGCCTGAAATGTCTTGTGCAAGTCTTCAATATTTGCATTTATTTGTAGTCCTGCCTGTCATTCAGCATGGACAGCAGATATTCAGCACCATTGAAGGAATCCCAGTGACACTGCCCTGCAAAGCAAGCGGAGTTCCCAAGCCATCCATTGCCTGGTCCAAGGTAATTCCTCACCTTTGAGCTGGTCCATGGCGAAAGATGAATTGAACACATCATTTAGTTGTCATAAAAACTGTATGCAAGGAACATGGCCCAAAGTGTCAGATGTGAGGGACCTGGAAAACTGTTTGTTCAGAACTGCTTTTGTTTCTCCGAGCAGGACTTTTGGCCGTGCTCCTGCCATAGCTCAGTGTTCTGTTCTTTGCAAGGGCTGTATCTGGGTGTTTTTAACACTTCAGAAATTGTTCCTGTTGGGAGCTGATAATTTGAGATTAGGCAGCCTGCCACAGATTGAGAGTTCATTTTTCTCTTGGAGCTTTAAGAGGACTTTTTCCTCTGAGGAAAGTGTATCTAATCATGGCATCCTGTCACTTTTCAGCCATATCTTTGACACAATGTCCACTGAGGAGGACCTCAGTCTTTCAGGGAATTTCTCTGAAAGTCAGGCTCTTTTTTCCCCCCTATTTGAACAGAATAATTTCTGGTAGTAACAGTTATTTGGGCTATGTTCCAGCTCACATGACCTGGCTGTGAAGGCACTGTGGGGCCTCAGAAGTTGTGCAGATGTAGCTGATTGGGACCATGTGAAACAGCTTCGTTTCAAAGAAGGAATAGAACATGGTTAACTGTTGGTTTGGGAGGGAAGAGAACACGGGAGGAGTGGTTTTTCTTAATTATCACTTAATAACATTCAGTGCAGACAAGGAAGAATCTGCTGACTGACAGTTTATATAATGTGTAAAGATCCATTTTGACATCAGAAGTCAATGTCAAAATTAACTCAGTCGAAATCCTGATTGTTTTTTTTTAATTTTCTTTTAAGAATGGTGTTCTGTAAAATGTAGCAAGTTTTCTGCACTGGAATCCCTGTGTTTCTGCTCTTGTTACTGCTTAGAAAGTGACACTCAAGGGCCGCGACAAGTTAGTAGAAGTGAATTAGTTTGCATAAATGGAATTTCGGGGCCAAGTTTCTGAATTAATGTGGAATGATTTTTCCCCAGAAAGGAGAAGTGATCCTTCCCAGCAATGTGAGGTTCTCTGCAGGCTCTGATGGCAGCCTGTCCGTGGTGTCCCCCGGGGGGGAGGACAGCGGGGAGTACACGTGCAGTGCCACCAACGCCGCCGGCCACGCCACGCGCAAGGTCCAGCTCACTGTCTATGGTAGGTGGGAGCTGAACTCAGCCCCCGTGTCCTCTGGGCCCCCCTGCTGTGGTAAAACACCCTGGGCACCCCCTTTGGGTGGTAAAACCCCCTCAGGTGGGTTGGGAGTGACACACTCGCAGTGCACGTGGGGTTTAAACCTGGCTCTACTTACTTGGACATAATTTCGTCTTTTATGGAAGTGGATAAGAAGCATCTCTGTAGGAACAGGATTTCCCACTAATAGAAGAATGAAGATCCATTAATCCCACCAGTCCCAAAGCTTCCTGCCATCTCTCAGTATTATTAAAACTTTGATTTAGGTGTTGGTGAGCTTTGTGAGGCTCTTATAGCTTATAGTTACTGGTGCTGCAGTGTAAGAGTTCAGGGAGTAGTTTCAAACTACCTGTACAACACGGAGCTCAGCACTTGTGTCTGTTCTATCCAGCTTTTTGGGTGGATACTCCTGTCTTTCTGGTATTTGTGGAATTACATGGAGGCATCAGCCCGTGCCTGAGCTACATCAGCACTGCAGGGATTTATCTCTGCTGCAGACAAGTCATTAAAAATAGGATTGTAATGTTTTATACCTGATAAAAAAGTAGATGTTTGCTCTGAAGTCAAATTGTATGGTGTTACATTTGTGCAAATGTGTTTATTCATTGCAGCTTCTTAATGTGTTCCATGTTATAGTGAAACCCAGAGTGTCCAGGCCTGGAGACCAGCAGGGAAATGCACCCATTGAGGTCTCAGTGACTGCAGGGGAAGATGTCACACTGCCCTGTGAAGTGAAGAGTTTGCCACCCCCCATCATTAGCTGGGCCAGAGAAATGCAGCTCATATCTCCCTTCTCTCCAAGGTAACAGCGTTTGATGAAAACCAAAGAGAAGTGAAATGGCCTCTGAGCTGTCAGGGTTGTGGGAGGGGTGTGACTCCTGATTGCCTCAGGATCACTCAGAAGGTGTTGCATTGTCCTGCCTGATGACTTCGTGTGCTGGCTCTTGAAACCCTCTTTCCCAAGGATACATCCCTGCACAGCTCCCGTTCCCAGGGTGCTTGTGTGCAATCTCAGGGGGCCAGGATGGAAGGGATCCTGTTCTGTTCATACTGTGGTGGTGCCCAGGGACCCACATCACCTGGCCATGATTAGAGATGTTTAAAAACTGGTTTTCTTTCCATATGCACTTCACATTTGTGCTCAGGGGAGCATTGTCTGTGATTCAGATGAGTTCTGGGCTGTCAGCAGGATACAGATGACAATAAATGTTTGGGTGTGCTCACAAGGGCTCGTTGCTCACTGTGGTTCAGATCCAAAACCTCTCCAGATATTCCTGAACATGTGAAAGCACAACTAAATGCTTGTGAAGTGTTGAGCTGACAGCCTGAGAGAATGAGGAGCTGGGGACTGTCCTGTGTGCAGTGTGGAGCAGGGTTGGAGTTCTCCCTCCTTGTTTTAGTGTGGTCCAGAACAAGGGGGGAGACAAGACAAGCAGCTGATTATCCTTGGATGTTCCCCGTTGAAGTGCCAGCGACTGCCACGGGCTGTGCTGGTGCTTCCTGGTGTTCCAGGTCCCTCCAGCTGTATCCATAGAACAGGGAATGGTAGGGTCAGGCACAGGCACACCGTGGTGACAGCTGTGCCTGTTGGTGTCTCCCAGTGATCCTTGGAAGGATCAGCCAGTGTCTGAGCTGAATTAAGGAATCAGGCAGACGAGCCCCTTTCCCTTGTGGCCAGATCTGCACGTTGGAGCCATTCCAGTGAGCCTGGGACAGCCTCAACAGCTCCTTGGCCACCGTGTCTGGTGAAGGAGGCTCGTGCACAGGCACTTGGGTTGTGGGTAGTAATCCATGTGGAATTCTCTGCTGTGTCCCATGAGCACTTGCCTGCACTGACAGATCTGCATTCCTGGTCCCTTGTCCTTGTTTTACCTCAGGAGACATTGATAAATTAGGCTACTTGCTCATGGCTGTTGGGGTGAGATCCAAGTTATCCAGAGTAACTGAAGTCCAGCTCAGCCCATTCCATAGAATTGTTTACAGATGGCAGCAAAAGTTAAATATTAATCCAAACAAAATGGTTTGAGACCACCCAAATATCATGTTAGCAATGTGTACAGTAAACAGAGGAAGAGGGAAATCAGAAAGGAAGGCACTTTTATCAGAAAGCAAATGTAATTACTGGACAAAATCGAGAGGGAGAAGTAGCCCCAGCAATTTGTCTTTTGGGGTTATTAAGAAAAAAACCCAAAAATGTTTGGAAAGCTACGGGCAGCAGAGAAGGAATCAGGAAACATTGGCTCAGTTGGTGGGAGCATGGTGTTGATAATGCCAGGGATGCAGGAAATATCAGAAGTGCCAGTTTTGAATCAGAACCTCTCTTCCATCCTGAGTCAACCTGATAGCATTTTTTGCCAGGATGAAGCAGTATGAGAAGTTATTTAACTTTCTGACCTCACTGACCTGGGCTGAGCAAAAACTTTTGAGCTCCTTTTCTCTGCCTCTATCACATTATAATGTCTTATAAATAGCTGGAATTCAAATTTTGTAATTTGGAGCTTAGATTTTAGATGTTTGCTGTGTATTCTGAATGTAGTGGCTCAGTAAGTAGAAAAAATGAGTAAATGTAAGTCCTAGTTGAGTGACACTGCACAGAATGCTGTTACTGGAGCTCACAGCAATCGTTAGCAGTGTGTAAGTAGAGGTCATTCACCTTTCCATACATGTTTATATGGTTTATCTGCTTCTTATTTTTCCAGACACACTTTCCTACCCTCGGGGTCAATGAAGATCAGCGAGACCCAAGTTTCAGACAGTGGAATGTATCTCTGTGTCGCCACAAATATTGCTGGGAACGTGACTCAGTCCGTGAGGCTCAGTGTACATGGTGAGTTGGGACTCCAAGGTTAATCAGCCACAAGTTTCCACATGGAATTTTGCATCATGCAGAGCTTCCCCTTTCCTTCAATCATCCCATGTCACTCCCTTGTCTCTCCCCTGCTCTCCCCACACTGGGGCCCCAACCTCCTTCTCTTACCCACTCACACAGTGACACGTCTGGAAAAATGTCACTTGTTATTGTTTCAGACATTCTTTTTAAGTCTTTTTATTGCCAACGATCCTTAGAAAGAAAAACATTGTGGCAAAAGACTTAGGGTGGATTTAGATTATTCTTTAGGACCAGGAAAATCACTTCCAGTCATATTTTATCTCCCTGTCTGAACTTGTGTTTGGAAGAATACAAAGATCAGGGATTAGGGGAAGGAAATTAAAATGTCAAAAGGAAAACATGATTAACTTTATCATAAAAGCTTTTGAATTGTTTTGTGTTATGAGGAGCCAGTACCTACAGCTCTTCAAATGTGCTCCGAGTATTTCAGTGCTCA